TGGCTATTATTTGTACAATCTACAGCTAAAATATGCAGTTGTCTACAACCATTAGTAAGCCTAGTTTGAGATTAGGAGACCTGAGGTACAATTAATCTCCAATATGCTATACAAACCCTTTTCGAATGAGGAATTGAGCATGGGGATAATTTATGCATGCGTTATTGAATAAGTCTTTCAGTTTGTTTTAATAAGCTGTATATTGATTTGAAGCATACCGTGAATGAGAATTATTATCGAAAAATTGAAAACTAATTCATAATTCATAACTAGCTAGTTAAATTGGCGTGCGTTGGTGGCGTAGCGGTTACGACGCTCGCCGACCATGCACATGGTCTTGGTTCGATCCTGGCCGACGCACTCCTTTACCTCGCTAAGCCAGAAATAATCCTGGTGAAGAGGAAAGGTTGGGCATGAGGTGACCACTGTAAATCGAATTCAAGCCACTAGCGAACTAGTTATATTGGCCGCACAAAGCGCACACTTTCCAAACGCATCTCTGAACATTATCCGGCATGGTTAGCAAAGGGACAATGCAAGACAATTACTAGCTCAATTCTCGAGCATTTGGTGAACTCAGGCCACGTAGCTCCACCAGAGTCGTCTTTCAAGATCATCTACAAGGTGAGGCCAAATGGTACAAAGGGCGTCAGGTTTCGGCTTTTGTGTATGGCGGAGGCTCTGGCAATTCGTCAATACAACCCCAAACTCTGTATACAGAAAAAGTTTGTCCAGTCTCTTATTCTACCTTGGTCTTAACCTCTTCACTAGTCGTTCCCTGTTATGATTTGATTTTTTCTTTTCCTTTTAATTTTACTTTTAGCTTGCTTTTGCTTTAATAATTAATTCACTATTATCACTCTCATATGTTCCTTTTGTACATTTTCACACCCTCTTCACACTTGGTAAACTGACACTCAACTACCTTTATTCTCACTCAATAGCAATTTTAACCTTATCAAATTTCTATCTTTGTGCCATTGAGTACCACGTACTTTACAACTTTTAATTTTTTACTTCTAAAGCCACTTCCGAGTAATTATATCAGTTATGTCACCCCCTATTACTCAATAATAGACCACTATATATTTTTTGGTAAACATAAATACGACTGTACAGCCTCTGAAGATGATTTCGTCGATAAAGAAAATTTTCCTCGCTGAATTTGTCTTTTATTTTCTTCATGACTCAATGGGTATTTTCGGTGATTTAAATCAAATCAAATGATATTATGATTATTATTCTCATCAAAACTTTCTAAGCGGTGAAAACTCTGTCTATCCAATGAGTGTAATTCTTAACTCAATCCCATACAAATCAATGTTATTTTTTACGTCTATAGATATACATGTAGATAGTTTCAAATTTTTAGGGAATTGAATCAGTCCTGATTGACCGACTGATAACGAAATCTTGGCTCGGATACAAAATATTCATCTGGTATTCACCAGCTTATGTTATCTCTGCCAAAGACATGATGTCTGGTTGTAAGCTGTGGGGTAAGGCCAGAGAAAATGGGAAATTGAAGAGGCCAGGTATCTTCGATCATAGGTGCTTGTGTTCTGTCTCTGTGTTAAGTAGCATTCTGCGGTGGATATTTTTTACGTTGGGAATAGAGTGTTAAATGAGGAAGGAAAGTCAGTCGGTAAGGTTTTGAGGCTGCGTCGATCGAAATGACTTTTTTTATCCTTCACGTTCCCCAGTGGAACATAGGGCTTCAAGCTAGCAGCTTGAAGTTTCTGTAGCAGTGTTTATTTTACAGGATGGGGTTGCTAGCCTCATGCCTAACCTTTCCTCTTCACCAGCATTATTTCTGGCTTAGCGAGGTAAAGGAGTGCGTCGGCCGGGGATCGAACCCCGGACCATGTGCATGGTCGGCGAGTGTCCTACCCGCTATACCACCGACGCACATTGAAATGACTTAGACTTGTATTATGCATGTGATGCCTTCGCCTTCCTCGTCAAGCAATGTTAGCTGACATAGGATTAGGTTGGAAGAGAGTTAGGAATCACCAAATCAAAACCTGGCATCAATCCACCAAGTCCTTGACTATTAGTTTGAGTCACGTGGAGAGGTGCCGTCTGCCTGATTGAGGCCAGAGAGATGTTAAAATCAATGTCTGGAGTCCGTTATTGAAATGAGCAGACATTTAATCAATATATTTGTTATTCTTACTTTGTTTCTTCTGTAAACGTTCCATTTCAGTAATTGAATCAACTGTTATCATTTAACATTTTTTCAACTAAAAGTCTGTCAAGACGTAGAAGATGAATTTCAAAATACACTGTGGCGTGTGCTACTGAATGGATTTATCGTAATATATAGACACAGATTGATGGTAAATAGCCAAAATTAAAAACAACATTTTAATTCAATGGCTACAGGAGTAAAAGTGTTTATTCCTGAAATCCGAATTTAGTCTAAGTTGTGGTCAGGAAATAATTTTATTGGACAGTTTTTCGTCTCAGGGTTCAACCTTCGGAAAGTCTACAACCAACCAGAACAGTTTATTAGCCGCTAACCTAGCCGACCTTAAATTTGGCTAAAAATGTATTAATATGGTGTGTTTTTCCTTGATAGAAAAGTCCGTTACCAAGTCTCTTGTCTTCTCCCGTTACAACACCACTGAGAAAAATTCAAAAGTAACTTCATTTCTCATAAATATAGGAATAGTAGTAATAACTGGAGGAATGATAGTAGTTGTGTGGCATGGGCTACTGACAAGAGTTTGTAAGTAGTATATTATGTGATACCTTCTGAGAGGATCTTGAATAGAGGATTGGTAGATGAAATTCGAAGCGAGAGGAATAGAGGAGATTTGTAATCAATATATAAAGCATGGATTGAAGTAAAAGAGAAGCAGGACTGGAGTTTCAATGTAATCTTGTCATATCTGATCATTACTGTATGTAATTTCTCATCAAAAAATCACAATTCTGTCCATTGCAAAAGTAGTAATTGCATCTAGAACGCTGTAATAACCCTTTATTTTCCATGCAATTTTTGCAGTACTGCTTAATTCTATAAATGCGTTTCGTTATCTACAAACTAAGAGACTAAAAAAGGGAACAAGAAGTCGTAAACAGTGAAAAATTCACTTTGTTCTGTTTAGTGATGGCTAACGGTGAAATTCAAAACTTACATTTCGTCCCATATGAAACTTGTCAAATGGACATATCTCTATTCCAGTAAGTGATGTCGTTTCACCTAAGTCTAACAACTAATTTTGTCGTTTAATTTAGAATTTTATCAAGAATCAACTGGTCTGAAAGTGATTTTCATCGTCATCATGAACCAGTCTCTACCACAAAAGTGTTAGAAAAAAGAAACAGTGGTTTATTATTATCATCCCCAAACTGGAAACAGCTGGATATCAAGAGCCTACATAAAATGAGTGTGCTGTGGAGTAGGAGTGTCATATATTAAAATGTAGGCCGCTTATCTGAGATCCTCAAGATGTTGAGAATTGATGGCTGGTGACTTTTGGCGAAATGTTACAAAAATAATATCCACTTTTCATCATATTCGAATTTCTGAACACCTCTTCTCCTAAACTAATATTTCCATGTTGAGTTATCTTTGTATATCTATTCACGCTTCCTTTATATCTGTTATGGTAACTTGGACGTTCTGTTTTCATTCCTCTGTATGTCTTAGGCCTGATGTTTATGATTTTAATGTTAAATATCCCATCATCTTAACTTCCGTAGATGTTTGTAATTTTTGGCTGATGAGCTCAACCGTTTCCCTCGTCCTGTATTCAGCTATAACCTGGTCATTTTAATCCTCTTCATAACTATTTATTTCTCGTATCTATTGCATCTAAGAAGGCCTACTACAACTCGTTGTTTCAATCCAATTCGTATCTTTTTCATGAAATGCCTTTTCAACAAACATAACAAAATTAATTTGCATGCCACACTTTCAGGCTGATACAATGAATAGTATAATAATTTGCTTAGTACCATAGGATCTCTCAGTTGGGTAGATACGGAAAACTCACTATCAGTAAACCAATATTTTATAACTGTATTGGCAAATTAAGCCTCATTCATTGAATGGGCCGAAAAAATCAAAATTAAATTCAGTCGTGAGTGAAAATGGGTGAGGAGAAGTCTAGTGAACGATAGATGTCATCTCGAATCAGCCATCGATGCTTTCTTTAGGTACTTACACAACTCAGATCATTCATCGGAACTGAGTGTCTAGAATATCCTTAAACTAACATGTACGCGAAGATAACAGCCAGCCAGCTACTACATTCGACAACCTGGTAACAAAACCAATTCAACTGCTCTTAATTCCAAAACACTGATGTTGTAATACATCATTTTCTTGAAGATATGTTAAATTAAGATTCACAATAAATAAGTATTTTGCACACTCTAGTTTCTCACCTTGAACATTTCCTCAGAAGACGTATGAGGATATTCGATCCAATCCAAGCAAGCTTAATGAAAAGTTAAAACAAGATCTTCTATATGTAAGCCTAGACGTCTTTAGAGGTATATATTCCGAATCACCCATTTAGATGCGGAGATCGAATTCTATCAAAGCATTCGTAGCCTGAGTATTTGCGAATTTATCGACTACTGGAGTTATATATCTCAAAGAAAACAAAAATCTGCTATGTTAATTAAGCCCAGTGTTTTTCTGTTCGGGTAAAACAAGGAAGGAAGTTAATTTCGTATAATTGTATTTCATTTTTATTCTATGACGATGAATATCGCTGGTAGGGTACCGATTCTCCAACTAAATCCACTAGACGAACTACCAAATACCTACCTTAATTAACTTACCAAACATAATAGGCTTAAATATATATAAGCAAATATTTCCTACCACAAATCAGAAATAGTCTATTTCTTTTTTTCTTCTTCAAAAACCTGTTTTAAACAGACATATCAATTTTAAGCAATCTGATTGGTTAGTTTTGTCAAATCGATGTAGCAGTCATATACACTATTTGTCTAGCCTTTCGCTTTTATAGAAAAGCAGAAAGCAGACAGGAAGACAAAATTGAAATGTGAGAATCAGTAATTACCAACATAATAAATCGGAAACACGCGATACGTTATTAAAAAATACATCACGTGCACTAAGATTCAGTGAACTGTTTTATCTTTTTGTGGGGAAGTATGACTAATCATCAGAAGAATGTGGGAATACAACCTCCTTTGAAAATATTTTTAGCTCGTGCAATCTACGATAATTTATCAGAAAATCCAACCGAATTAAACTTTTCACGTGGTGATTTAGTTACTGTTTTGGACAGAAATCCTTCTGGTTTAAAAGGTTGGTGGGTGTGCAGTATACGTGGTCAACTTGGGATTGCGCCTGGAAATCGTTTGGAGTTATTAGGTCTTATACATGTAAGCCTATTGTTGTTGTTGTTTTTTTAAAAACCTTTTTCTTATAAAAAAAACTTTCTTAAACTGATAATTAATTTTAATTAAATTGGAAATAAAACATAGTCAATTAAAGGCTCAGCTATCAACCAGAATATCAGCAGCATAAAGTGGTCGAGCTCTGAATGACTTTCTTCAAAACAGGAACAGTTTTAAGCTATTGGACACATACTTACTTGCAGTATCCTCATTCTCAAGTAGAAAACCGAGGTCAAAGGAAAGTGATACGATGACGTACCATCCTACTTTGGATTTACAGAGGATGTAATGTTGATGAAAGTGTTGTTGAAACCTGGACACACGTTTCTGTTCTTTTCGTAGTCTTTATTAATTTCGGTCAGTTTGAATACATTTTAAATGTTCAGGTCGATCTGGAGTATTACTAATGTTTGCTGAGTTTTTAGGATCACCCTACTTATTTACAGTAATTGTTACTCTGTCACTGTATGCTAAACAATGTTGTCTAATGTCTTAAGTAATTATAGATTACTGCAGTGCCAAGTGAAATGTTTTACTTTGTATCAGTCTCCTTGGGTTGAAACTGATTTGAGGCGCCAATGTTTCATTGTTTGAAAATCTGCTTGTTACTGATTCCAGAAAAAGTTTTAGCTGGTAAAAAATGTAGCGTAATTTGCAGTAATATACTCTTTGCAATTAATAGTGTTCTCTAAGCTGGTTGGTTTAGTTGCGAAGCTTTCGTTGTCGTACTGGACAACATCTTCAGAGCCATATTTAGCACAAAGTGAAATGATTTAAATTTCTTCATGAATGATATAATTGTGTCTCCTGGTAACTATCTTTACATATGTATTGACCATTTTCTATTGACTTGGATTCTAAACTTTCTGGTCACCTGATTTACTTTTTATTAGTTGGTATGTTTCGTCTATATTAACGTGTTTGTTAATTGCATTTTCATTTGAGTACCAGGCTTCTAGGAATTCCCCGGCACTTTTAGTGTTTCCTCTGTCTAAGATTTTGACATTATCCCAATCAAATTGATGTCCATAATTGTCTATATGCATTGATACTAAAGAATACATATCGTGTCTTTTCACGGCTGATTTGTGTTCTTGGATTCTAATTCGAAGGGGACGCCCACTTTGGCCGATGTAATGTTTGTTGCAGTTCATACAGTTTATTTTGTAAATGGTATTAATTTTATCCCCTTTTTCTGCTGGATCTTTTGGTTTGCATAATATCGAATTAAGCGATTTTACTGGTTTGTGTACTATATCTATATCTAACGTTTCCAGTATTCTAGCTGTTATTTCAGAAATATTCCTCATGCATGGTAGAATGAATTTTCTTGTGGTCTTTGATGATGGTTTCTTGTTGGTGTTTCGATTCGAATTTAAACACTTTTTGATGCAATTTTGTGGATAACCATTCTTTTTGAAGACCGTTTGTAGGTACTTTTCTTCCATTCTTTTCAATTCTGGAGTGCTACAATGTGTCTGAACTCTTTCAGACAATGTCTGCACACAGTTTCGTTTGTGAGTAACTGGATTATTGCTAGTATAGTAAAGTATTTGATCTGTGTGCGTTGATTTTGTATGTACTTGTGTCTCTAAATCTCCTGTGTTGGTTCTCCTGATTAAGACATCTAAAAATGGGATTTTGTTATCCAATTCTTCTTCTCTCGTGAATTTGATGTCTTCAAATATGTTGTTTATTAATTTATGAGTATATTCTAAATCACTTCTCTTAATTATTACAAATGTATCATCAATGTAACGTATCCAGATTTTCGGTTTAATTATAGGTAGAGCTGTTAATTCTAATCTTTGCACAACGGCTTCAGATATTAATCCTGTTCTGGGCGGTCCCACTGGTGTTCCTTTTATTTGTTCATATATTCGAGTATTGAACTGGAAGTTTGTTGTAAGGCATAATTTTATGAGTTCTATCCAAGTTGAACATTGCGTTTTTGTGTTTTCATCATTTAAAACAGTTAGTCCCTTTTATAAATTTTGATAGCATTATTAGAAGACGGAGATTATCTGAAAAATGTGATGTATTAGCGCTATACATTTCGAACAATCTGATCACACATTTACTTGCCAAATCAAGTTCATTAATTTTTGTAGCTCTGCCGTTAATAAGACGAAAGAGAATACCAGATTGAAATTGTTTGGATCTTGTACCTCTGACTTTCAATTAAACCAATTCCCATTAAATCCTGATAAGTATGTGACAAATCTGTCATCGGTTGAACTTTTATTACATGAAAAGGAGGTGCTATCACTTGGTTTCAATTTTTCTATCCCATTAAAGAATATTTCGGACTTAGCAATTGATTCTCAGTTTGAAAATTTGTATGATCAGTTGAGTTCCCTAACTCCTTCCTCGACAGATGACCAAAGTTGGTTGAAAGTTAAATTTGTAGATGTAGCACACCAATTCCGTAATTCAAGTCGGAAACAAAGAAGCATTTTAATATCAACTCATTTTAAAGCCCTAAAGGAATTACGTAACAGAACCGATTTAGTTATTTTGAAACCTGACAAAGGATTTGGTGTAGTTGTAATGGACAGATGCGATTACAAAACAAAAATGTTATCCATCCTTAGTGACAAAAGCAAATTCATAGCCGATGTTCCTTCGGATGATATCAGAAAATTAGAAGGAAAAGTAAATTCTCATTTAGTAAAACTTCGTGGCTTGGACGTTATCGATAAACAGGAGTTTAATTCCTTGAAACCCATGGGATCTGACTTTCCAAACCTCTATGGATTACCCAAAATTCATAAGGTTGATAATCCACTACGGCCAATTCTTTCAATGTGTAACTCGCCTACACATAAATTAGCAAAATGGCTAGCTGATATTTTAAGTCCAGTGGGCAATGATTTATGTAAGTTTACTTTAAAAGATACATTTGAACTTGTTGACTGTCTTGTAGATATGAACATAAAAGATAGGAAAATGTATTCATTTGATGTTAATTCTTTGTTTACTAATGTACCATTGGTTAAGACCGTTGATATTCTGTGTGACTATATATCTTCTAGTTGTTTTTCACTTCCTTTTCCTTTACCTTATTTGAAAGATTTATTACTATTATGTACTGATAACGTCCATTTCACGTTTGAAGGTGAACATTTTAGACAAGTGGATGGTGTTGCTATGGGGAGTCCATTAGGACCTTTATTAGCGGATGTTTTTATGTCTTATGTTGAAAACTTATCTTCTGATTTAATTTCTAAATTGCATTTTTATAAGAGATATGTAGACGATATCATTCTGATATGCGATGATCATGAAGATGCGAGTCGTCTATTGGACAGACTCAACTCTGTACAGAATCATATTAGTCTTACATGCGAGGAAGAAAGTCGCAACCAGCTCGCATTTTTAGACATACTTCTGAGTCGAAGAGACGATGGCTCAATAAGACGTTCTATCTACAGAAAGCCCACTTGGACAGGGCGATATCTAAATTTTCACAGCTTCTGTCCATTACAATATAAGAGAGGCTTGGTGAAGTGTCTATTTAAGAGGATTCAGCGTATTTGCACAGCTGATGTTATAGACAAGGAAAACGAAATATTGATGGATACTCTTGTTGAAAACGGATATCCTTTGAAGTTTTTAAACAGGTGTAGAAGTCAACTAGCCTCTAAACCTACAATCCATACTGTCCCTAAGAAAAAGGTTTTCATCAAATTACCATATAATGGGGAAATAAATAGTAGGATTTTGAGACAAAGGTTGAATTCCATCATCCGTAGAACCTACTATGCAGCCCAGCTTGTAATTGTCGAAAAGGCTAAAAATATGCTTCACTGGAAACCTCAAAAGTGCACAAGTGATTTTATCACATCCCATACAATTTACCAATTTTCGTGTGTGTGTGGACATACATACATAGGGAGGAGTAATCGCGCGTTGCACGTGAGGGTGGGAGAGCATATCCCAAAGTGGTTAGGAAAACAGATGAATTGTGACAAGCCCATAGATGCAGGTGCCAGACTACCAACTTCGTCTATAGCTAAACATTTAATCGAGATGAACCATAAGGTTGTTGTTAACTCAGCCTTTAAGATTATCTATAAAAACGGTCAAGGACGTTTACTGAAATACGCTGAGGCTATAGCCATTCATAAACTTAAGCCCCCCTTGTGTATTCAAAAACAGTTTGTTATTATTCTTAACCTACCTTGGTAATCCTTATTTGATTGGATTACCAAACGTTTGTGTTAATTATTCTTAATTCTTTTTTTTGTCACCTTGTTTAATTTAACTTTTCATCATTATAGAGTAATTGTTGCATAGTTTATGTTGCTAGTTTTGGACTAATTGAAGTATATAATGCTGTGACATACTCTATCTTATGTATGTATGCATGTAAATATGTAAAGCATAGTCACTGAAGTTGAGAAATTTGCGATGGTCTCCAGATTCCTTTTTCTATTACCACATATTTGTAATGAATATCAGTTTGAACATTATGAAGGAAAGCGTAAAATTGTGTTTAAACAAAAATATATCTCAATTATCCGAGCGCAAAATTTCATTTTTGGCTAAATCTTTTTCCTGTGATATCTGTCTGTGCCTTCTGACTGTATTATTTTCATTCCTGTTGTCGCCACTTAAATGAGTTCTACCTAATATACGTATGTAAAACCTGTGGAACTCAACCATTACCTCAGGATCTGCATTGACACTGTTTGACAATCTTACTGCTATGACGAACTGCATGCAATGCTTCAAATACAACATGAAGAGTTTCGGTTGTAGTTACTTCAGGATACAAAAAGTAAGCACACAGCTTTTTAATTACTGCTGGAAAGCACGGAATCTAAACGTGAAGCTTTATGCTAAGTGATTTTTGCACAGTCGATTACAAGGACTTCGAAGACACTTAGCAGTAAGAAAACTAAGCATCTATGCTTCTGGTAGCTAATATGCCATGAAGTCATCATATTACAGAATTCATCCTTCACGATTTATCAACAAAA